ACCAGCACGATGAGCCTTCTTATCCTGTCTCTTCTTCTGTCGAGGGTGCTAAAGAGCCAGCTGGCCCATCTTCACTTCACTGTATCTTTTCTACTTCCGCTGCAGCCAAGTAAGAACATTGCCCCAGAAGTGGTTCAGGACGCGTGATTCGCATGCGGACCAGCCTATTGTTGCACAGACGGCTTCGTCATCTGAAGGCAAACGGGAATGCAACAGGACCCTTTAATATTTCAATTCTTTATTTTCCCTTCAGTGTTTGCCCTGTGCTGCCTTTGCTACCTGCCTATCCAAAGGTTTAAGATGCGACTTCTTTTCCCTCCTCCAATTTTTCTTACAAAGGGGGGGAGGGAAGGAAGTATTCTAAGAAATGTATTGTTGAAAATCAGGAAGAAAAACTTCTATACATTTGTTTGTGTGGGTGGGTGTTTTAGGAAAAGAAAATCACACACATACACACACACACACACACACACAAACCCTCTACAAAGAAGTGTCAGGAGTGATTGTGAGAAATTGCATATTCTTCGTGTGACATAAAAGTGGAAAAGGCAGCAAGGCAGCCAGCTCAGAGAGATGTGAAACTGAGTGCTTCCCACAATTGCAGCAAATGAAGAGCATTTTGGTCTACTTTAAAGGCTGAATTGCAATAAAGTATAGGCTTCTTCTGACTCTTTGCATTCTTCTGGCTGCACAGGGAGAAATATCACTGTTAAAATTATACCTTGCCAAGTTGCTACTGTATCAATCAGTCTCCCCCATGCTGTTTTGGTATTTCAGAATTGCAAGCAACATGATCCGCGGTCCATCAAAGCAATGGAGATGAGCAAAGTTTTGCTCCTTCTTGATTTTCCCCACCTTTCAGCATCCCTCCTGGGCTACCCTGAATCCCTTTCTTTGTTTTGCTTTTTACTCTAATTTTCTGGTATTAGGCTTATAGCATTTTGGGTACTAAAACGCTGTGCTGAAAAAACCCTCCCTGGCGAATTCTGAGTGTTTTTGCTGTCTTCTCACAATTCTGAAGTAGAGTTCAACTGCCGATCCAATCAGCTTGTCTGTGATGGCCCATCCATTATGGCCGGTGGGGTGCTAGGCTACATCCACTCTCTCTGTTTCTTTCACAAAGATATACCGGTGTCTGTTTGTATGTTTCCTTGCTTTCTTCTGGCTGTGTTTGGATAAATATACCTGTTTGTGTGTGAGAGAGAATCACACAATCATTGAGTTGGAAAGGGCCTCGAAGGCCATCAAGTTCAACCCCTCCTTTGCTCAATGCAGGAATCCAAGTCAAAGCAGATCTGACAGATAGTTGTCCAATTTTCTCTTGAATGCCTCCAGCGTTGGAGCGCTCACCACCTCCCGAGGTCATGGGTTCCATTGTCGTAAAGCTCTAACTGTTAAGACATTTTTCCTAATATTCAGCCAAAATCTGGTTTTGTGAAGCTTGAGCTCATCATCAAGAATGATGGCCTTCCTCATCATTCCTGATGAGTTTAAAATCCACATAAGGAATAGATTTGTATTATGGAATTCAGTTGACTGGAAACCAGAAGAACTGTGTACAGTATTGAAATCAGAGATATTACTAGGGAATTTATTGATTGATTTGATTTATATGCCACCCCTTTTGCACAAGCATTACTCTGTGTGGTTTCCAGGTTAAAACTTGCTTGCTTGCTTGCTTGCTTGCTTGCTTGCTTGCTTGCTTGCTTGCTTGCTTGCTTGCTTGCTTGCTTGCTTGCTTGCTTGCTTGCTTGCTTACTTGCTTACTTACTTAAAAGATTTTTACCCCAGCTTTCTCCTTAAAAGGACCCAAGGTGGTTTACATTATTAAAACAGAATATAGAATCCCATCCCGAATTTTGATGGAAGCAGTGTAGGAAAGGATAAGTAAGGATGCGTGCTCCCCAAATAAAAAGGTGGGAGTTATTGTTTTTTTTCCTTTGTCTTTAAGAACAAGAACTGAACAAGGCTGTGCAGGTTGAGTTAATTTACTTGAAAACATAGTACTATTTAAAGCCGTTTCGATATCTGGCCTTATAAATTATTCAAGTTGTAGAAGTCAGCTTGTGGTTGACTTACAAGGAGATAATAGGGAGGCTGGAACCATAATGACGAAAACAGGGGAAGATCAATCAGACCAGGAGATGTCTAACACCAACAAGGAGCAATTAAGCAGCAATCAAAAGCAATTGCACTGATCGTTGGTGCCCTTTTAACACTGATCATTGAAGCCTGGAGAGCAAAGGCTAAAAAATATTCTGTTTTAGTGAAGGGCTGCGGTACCGCTGCCCGGAAAGGAGAGGTTTTGCCTACAACCCAATCCAGTACATGCCTGCTTGGAAAAAAAACACCCATGCTGAGTTCATCGGAACTTAATTTTGGATGGGTGCATAGGGTTTTACAGGTCTAACATCTAATTCACACAAAATATGGGTACAGAAGATGCTTCATAGTAAGTCACACCTTTGGTCTATGTAGCCTAGCACAGCTGACACTGACAGATAGCAGCTCTCCATGCAGCCTTTGGAGATGCTGGGAATTGAACCTGGGAAGTTTTGCATGTAAAGAGCATGCTTTGACTCTGAGCTGTGGCCTCCCTCTCTCCTTTCCTGTATGTCCACCTTTTTGTTGTTCAGCAAGATCAGAGCAAAGGAGGAGGAACATCCCAGATAATTTTGTGAGGATTTCTTAGCAATTGATATGAGTGTGGACTCTTTCTCTGTAACTGGAGGCGATACAACTATCCTAACTGGTAATCACTGATGCGCTTAACCTTTGTGACCATATCTTATTACTACCATCAACTGGAGAATCAATGGCTGAATGGGAAGCCGATGCTAATGCAATTCCCATTGAGTCAATGAAGCTACTCTAGATGAGGCTAGCTGGAAAATACTGGCCCATCCGTTTAGCCCTCTGCTTTCTTGTTTCTCTCGTGCTGGATGTCATCATGGCTGTTTTCATGTTGGATGTGGCAACCGACTGTATGCTGGAGTGCAGAATTTGGCGGATGCCCAGAGATGCCATCTGTACGTACAGAGAGTCCAATTGAGGACAACACTCCATGCATCTGGTAAAGTGAGCTCTGGACCATCAATGCCACGATAAATATTCTCATCTTTTAAGTGGTCACAGGTGTGCTGGTTGGAATTCTCTGCATTGCTCATTCATTCATTTGCAGTGTTTCAAGGCTATCTTTGAAAACCATGCCCTGGTATATGTACCTGTAACAGATAACAGAGAGATACTAGTCAAACTGCCAATGTAACCTCAACCATTGGTACATCTATTTTATGCTGTTAAGAATTGGGTTGAAGATTTTTCCAGCTGAATCCTGAAGACATTTACTCAGAAGGAAGTCCTACTGTTGTCAGTGTTGCTTAGTCTCTACTGGGAGTGCACATAAAGGTGACTTAAAGTAAATCTGTTGAGAGGAGGAACTGTATTCCGATGTAGTCATTGTGCGGTAAATTTGTATGCACTTTCATGGGAGTAAGCGTCATTAGGTGCAGCAGGACTTACATCAATGTCAATATGCAGAGGATCTTTCTTTACCATCTAGTATCTTCCCTATTTGCACTGTGTCATGTGCATGACGTTTACCTGATAATCTTGACACAGAGTGTTTCGTTCATAAAATAATAGGACAGATGGAGTCTTTGGATATTTCAGCTAGGTGTCCTTGTGGTAAATTCTGTTACATTGAAGGAAATCTGAATGCAACTTTGTGGAGTAGGAATGTAGTTTGTTGTCTTCGTTAGCAGAATGCCACTGTCTTCTTTATGAGGAAAGTGGCTGAATGTTGAGAAGCTGTTGGGAAAGATTATAGTGTCAATACAAGAAAACAGATGTAAGCTGAACCAGTGGAGGTTGGAGACAATGTGAATCCACCCCAGATGTTCGCCTTACATTTACAAGAGCTTTCCGTGGTGCTGAACCATGTGGGGATAGTAGCTTGGATGGCTAAAACATGGGCAGGTTTGCCATTTTTGCACCATCAAATGCACCAGCCTTCACTGAGCTGAACCAAAGCAATGTATGTTATAAGATGCACTGTCACGATTTTATGCAATTTATCCTTTGCAATGTTTATCATGGAAATACATATAGTGTTTTACTAGTATTGGCATCTTTTCTGGCAATTATGAAGCACTGCTCTAAAGCAAAGGCTGACTTGATTCATCATCATCTGAAAAACAGGAACCTTTTTTCTGTAAAATGTGCTACTGTTGCTTTTTTTTATCTCCCGATAAAAGTAATAGCAGAGGATGGGTTGCTTGTGTCTTTCATAACAGATTTTGTCCTGTTTTGTTAATTGTGAGAATGTATTTTGCTATACAAAGAGACACTGGTTTGGTACAGAAACAAGAGTTTCAGAAAAACTACCTTTGATGTTATATTTAATTGTTTTATTTTAAGTGTTGTTAGCTGCCCAGAGTAGTCAATTGATCAGATGGGCGGGGTAGAAATGCAATGAATAAATAAATAAATAAATTTTGCACAAATGATGAAAAACACAAGCAGACAGGGAAAAAAATTGTTAAATAAAAGAAGTGTGTTGCCTTGTAGCGGAACCAAAATATATGTAAAATTGTGTTTTTAGAATGGGTTTAAACTGTTTCTATAGACCAGGTTTTAATCTCATATCTGTTCATTTTTTTAAAAAGGTACTGTAATTATTGTTTTTCAGATTTGACACAACTCCGGGAGGCAGTAGAAGATAGGAGGGCCTGGCGTGCTCTGGTCCATGGGGTCACGAAGAGTCGGACACGACTAAACGACTAAACGAAACGAAACGAAATTATTGTTTTTCAGCTTTTATTTATTTATTTATTTATTTATTTATTTATTTATTTATTTATTTATTTATTTATTTATTTATTTATTTATTTATTTATTTATGTCCCACCCGTTTAGTGAGCATTAATATTGTTTGTTTTAATATTCTAATGAGTTCTTAGATGAGACACTAATTTTTTTATTTCCCTCTTGCTCCACAGCTTAATCCAGGCCAGAACAGCTGTCGGGACAGCGACAGCGAAAGCGCAAGTGGGGAATCGAAGGTGTTCCACCGGAGCAGTTCCCGAGAACGACTCAGTGATGTAAGTGCAACTCTTGAAAAAAATTTTTTTTGGGGGGGGTCTTTCTGTTGTTCCCATCAACACTTACTCCAGTATGGAAAGAAAAAGAACTGAGTCAACAACATCTGATTTGATGTTGAGCGAGGGATTTTCTATACGTCCATGTATGGCCTCCCTAACCCTTCTCTCAAACCACCTCTCTTCTGGGTCCAAAACGAGTACATCTTGGCCATCAAATGAGTGTCCTTTATCCTTCAAACGAAGGAACATTGCTGATTGTGGTCCTGACTCATCGCCCCTCCAGTACTGGGCCATTCTCCTGTTTAGTGCCTGTTTGGTTTCTCCAGTGAAGAGCTCCAAACATTCCTCTTTGCAGTGGACCGCATATACTAATATTGATCCTGTTGTATTTTGGTGTCTGGTCTTTTGGGTGGACGAGTCTTTGCCTTTGTGTGTTTGTGTGTACTGTGGTATATTAAATGGTTCCTCCAGCTCAGTAAATGTGCAAAGAAAACTGATATGTAATTATCAGGGACCATCGATTGGCAGAGTTACATTCTCAAAGTACAACTCTCAGAATCCTCAAACCAACATGCTCAGTGACTGTTCTGGCTAAGGAATTCTGGATGACATAGTTTAAAAAATTTGGTGTTTAAGTTCTACTATGGATCCCATTGCCTGTTCCAATATAGTGCATAGCAGTGAAGCGAAATAGCAACAAACGGGATGAGGATTCGCAAAGGAGGCACCGCATTGAATTAATACTCACTTTTCTGCATGCCAAAGTGTGTGTGTGTGTTTGTGTGTGTGTGTTTGTGTGTATTTGTGAAAAAAAAACTACTTATGATAGAGAAGGGTGAGCTCAGATATTTTCCAATTAAAACAGAACATGCCAGCTATGTTTTGGAAAGTAATGACACATTGATATTTGCAGTATGCCTTCAGTTTCCTCTAACATATTGGTTCCAATACAACTGATGCCAAGTATAAAGCAGGACAAAAACTTTGAAAAAATGTGCAGCTGCATATTTTAGTCACTAAAATGGGGGGTGGGAGAGGAGACAAAGTATACCCCCAAATAGAAACATACACCCCTCTGGCCCAGGCAGGATGTGCAGTGGTCAGGCATCCTTTGGGTTTTGTCTGATTTAGAGTGTATCTCTGGACTACAATAAATTTCCATGCATTTTTCATATTAGCAGTAGACATGCAAATACTGATTGTCATCATTGCACAATAAAAGAATAAAATAGAAATATTGTCCTCCTCATTTCCAGAAAGTGAGGTGGAAGAGATCTCAGAGAGATTTTCAACATTCACAAGATTTAACTTTTGTGCATTTTGTTTTTTTTAAAAGGTGTGTTGTTGGAAAATACTACATGTGTTGCACTTTTTGCATGAACTAGGAAACATCGCAGCATTCAATGGACTATTTGTGTCTCTCTGTACACTCACTGTGCCTTTTTGTGCTTGCTCTATATGGCTGCTTAGTGAAAGACCCTAGTTTTACACCGCTCCATTTTGCTCAAAATGTGGTTAACCGATTGATTGGGAAAGCATTTGTTGTCTCACTCTCGTGATGGAAAGAACTCTCGCAACAGGTAGAAGAGTCTCAGCAGGAGACCTTGCCATTCTTAACAAGAAACGAGAGAGGGTGAGAGTTCTTCATATTTCAATAGCGTATTTATGCACTCTGTACATATAGCAATGGAAACCACAGAATTAAGCTACAGATTACTGCAACACTGCTACAGAACACTGACGTATTTTATGAGGGGACATCAGACAGCCAGGATGGGTCAATTCTGTGTTGCTAGTGCCAACTGTCAGCATTCCAAGCTGAGAGGACATGGAAACAGCTGTGTAGCTCGGATTTTTTATTTATTTAAAATAAGCATAAAAACCCAACCCCAAAATATTTCATGCGAGGTATCAAAGATAAGCATGGAAAGCAGATCATTTTTCAGACAAGTCCAGAAACAAAAGTGTAGCACTTGAGTAATTTTTGGCTTGGCTTTGGGTTCGCCGGTTGGGGTTTGGAAGGGAAAAGTTTGGAGACTCCGCTGTTAAAATCAGCAGAGCTGACAGCACTGGGATAAATGTGGTGTGGGTAATTGTAATCCATACTCACTCAGGGGAAAAAAAAACCTGAACTGCTGGAGAGATTGGCAGCAATTCTGCTAATAACAATCCTTCATACGCTTTGCTAACATAGCAGAAATTTAAGTACGCTTTTCTCAGAAGCCTCCCAGCCTTTCTCTTGCTAGCAATTTTGGCGCGGAGACATAACAACTGTGCGAGATGAGATAAATACCTTCCTAGCCAAGCTTGTGGTGGCCCTCCAGTCTTTCGTCAGATTCTTTTCTTTGTGAAAACTAAATAGCGTGCTACGTTTTCCTCCTGCTCAATCAAATGCAGGAGCTTTGGTCTGTATTTGGAAAATCCACTTTTATAGCTAGTTTTTACACTATTTCAAATTATTGCAACAAACTCAGCCTCTCATTTCACTGTCTGTATTCTCTGCTTAGGAAGCAAAAAGAGGGTCAAGAGAAAGATTATGGATCAAGGATTGAGTATTTCTTATGGCCAAGAGGGAGTCCACCTTGAGGTGGCACCACTCCCTTCGTGTGCTTTTTATGTTCACATCACTCTTCAGAACTCTGGTTGAGCATTTTTTTTCATTGAATTGTTGATAGGTACAGGGAGATAAGAGTTGAAGTAAGAGCTATCTTGTTGATTGCTTGGAGTACATTATAATGGTTCCCATTTCTTGACTTTCTTCTCAATTCACAATGGTCATGTAGACCCATTGAGTAAAATCCTGGCTGTCCTAGTTAGCACGTCATGTACAGCACTGATGTTACCTGTCTGTCATGGGTTTGGAGGGAAAGTTCCATCCTATGGGGAGTGGAAGGCGGGACATCAGGAGGAGGGGCTGTACTGTATAAATATGTGATGCCTGTGTGGTGAAGTTTAGACACTGAGAAACACTGAGAGACGCTGGGATGTGACGAAGCAGCAGCTGAGAGAAGAAGCTGGTGTGGGAGTCTGTGTGTCAGACAGGGTACTACTGTGTGTCAGAGTACCAACCTGATAGGTTCAGGTGTCTGTTGGTTAGCCAGAACTGATAGGTTCAGGGTCTGTGCTTCAAGTTAAGGGTTCTGGGTGAACCAAACTGTGTGTATGTATGAGTGAGAATAAGCCACGTTACTTTATCTTATTCACCTGATTGTTTATTTTTCCCTGTGTGTATTTAAATAAACCTTATTCTTTTTATTGTTCAAAAATCCATCCCTGGTCTGTGTGACTTCTTACAGGGAATGGTTGGTGGCAGCTTAGTTAACGTGTGGCAGATCCCAGTAGGTCTGGGTTTGTCACAGACCCATTGAGTAACATCCTGGCTACCCTAGTTAGCACGTCATGCCACCTGTACAAAATGTAATATGTAAACCATGTTCATCCCTTCTAGATCTCACTGTTGTTCCACACTGTCCCGCACACACATTTTTATTTTTCCAAACCACCATCCAACTCCCCCCATCCCCAAGGCAGTTATTTCTCATGTAGGTCTACGTGTAAAAACAAATTAGACATTATTGAGAATGTGGAGGGTTTCCCATTCTATCATTCAAACACAGAGTAGCAGGGACAAACATGACTCCTTTTATGGTAACAGGCTTGGACCAATAATGAGGCTGATCAACACTTGAGATAATAATTTTAGAACTACAGAGCTGGAAGGGACCCTATGGCCTTGGGTCCTTTTAAGGAGAAAAGTGGGTTAATAGTATTTTAAATATTAAATATCAGGGAGGCACAATAGGGAATCGCACTCCAGCCTCTGGCTCTGCAGCCAGGTGATGAGGATGATGTTGTCCAGCTGGAGACAAAATAGTTGGCCTGTAGGTACCTGCATGATAAGGAATGCTCATTTTCATTGCAGATCTCTGTTAGGTCACAATGATTATGTTCCTAACAATAACTCCCACCTTAAGGATGTGAAGACTGTTTTGCCACTCTTTGGGGGTCCAGTCAGGACAAGCTGTCTCAATGCGCTGTGGAGAACTTTCCTATCCACTCAGGAGACCTTGCCACTGGTGTGAGACACATTTCTGTTTCCTGTTCTGCATTTTCTGCAAAACATTATCCCAGCAAAACTTGTCCCTTTGTGAAACCAAGTACTGCCCCCCCCCAAAAAAACCCCATGAAACCACAAGCTGATAAGGCACAAAGGCACAAATCGTCTATCCAAAGCTTTTACTAACCCACGCAACAAGACAACAGGAGTCTCAGTTTAAAATTTTTGCACATAATTGGGACTACACAAAAATCTGTCTTTCAAAGTGAGCGAAATTTCTCCGACACAAAGAGTTACATTTTGCATCTTGCCTTCTAGTAGTGAAACTGGCAGGATGAAACAAGCTAGGATTTTCCTCCCTGTGAGTTGTCATCTCTGGAAAATAGTCTCCTGGGTCTTCCTCCAGCAGTAATATCAGTATAACATCCTCCCCTTGATCTGAAGGCCATGAGCTAGCTTAGTGTATGGCACTTCAACGTGGATGCATAGAATGGACTCAGATGAATCAACCATGGAATTATCACTGCCTCCTCTACACCCAGCGCCTGCTACATGAGATTATGGCAATATTGTGCTTTGCTGTTTTTCAGTTTGGTGAAGTTTTACATGGACAAGAGTAACTTCCTTGTTAATTTTTTTAATGAAAGGAGGGCCAGAGATAGTGAAACATTCATGTTTAAAAGAGACACAAGCTGCCTTTTATGAAGGAATTGGAAAAGATATTCTTGTGAATGTTGAGGTGGATGTTGCAGTTACTGTAGATTGGGATGAGCAATTATAGCTTAGACAAAGCAATGGGTCCCCCTCCCCCTTTGAACCGTTTGAGGGCTACACTGACCTCAAAAAATGCTAAAACAATGTGAAAATTGAAGTCAGGCCCCAGGACTGTGCCTGTTGTTATGTACAGTAATAGGGTCTTCAAAGTATGTGAGATATTTGAGAG